GTGAATACGGCGAAACGCGTCATCACGTTAAGTTACGCACCTGACGTCACGCACCCGAGAAAGCTCCTCCCCCTGGAAGTTTGAGGAAACAGACGGCCAACAGACGGTAATAACGGCGGCGAATCCGCAGAGGTACAAGTCGACACCCTTATGCTGTATGCTACCGAAGGCTCTGTAACTGAATACTAAGTGTGGAGGAAGGTGATATATTGGTGCTGTGCTGGGCAATAAAGATTTTGGAATATTTTTTCGTCTGTGCAGTCCTACATTTGAAGAAGCTGTTAAAGCTAGAGCAGGCTTATTCTGCTCTACTTTTGTGAGTGCAATATTTGGCATTTATTATCCATACTACCATTTTAATACGGTTTCACACTATTGGTTTTTTTATGTCTCTTTTCCTTTCTATGTATATTTGGAGTTGAGAGGCCATATGTATGTATAATATTTTATACTGATATTCTACACTTTAAGTGCACTTTATATCACTTTGCACTTTATCAATTTGTTTGCACTTAGTTGCACTTTATATATTTTTGGGTCTTAAAGACACAGCGCACCTTATTATTTTTAAGTATATTCACTATAGTGTTTGGAGGAGTTTTACACTTGTTTTTGGTGCAGCTCTTTGTTATATTAACAGGTTGTTTTGTTTTATTTTAGATGATTTTATTACGAGCGCCTACTTTTTACTTGTTTTCTGTGTATATTGTATATAACGATAATATAATATATAACTATATAACAATAATATATAACAATATAACAATAATATATAACAATAATATATAACAATATAACAATAATATATAACAATATATAACTATATAACAATAATATATAACAATAATGACAAATATGTTACAGGGTAGGGTGAGGGGAGAGAGGGAAAAGATTTAGTGATTTATGTTGGGTTTTTTGGTGATACTTACCACTATTTTGTCTGATGTGGACCAGCCTACACTATTTTTATTTTTTATACATATTTTTTTGTTATGTCCATGTGTATATAATACTATTAGTTGTGTGTTGTAGTCGGCCTCTTCTGTCTATTGGGACCTTTTAGAGATTTAGACTTTTATTAACCCCTTCCCGACCGCGGACGTATCAGGTACGTCTGGGAAAAAACGGTCCATAATGACCTTGGACGTACCTGGTACATCCGCAGCTATTTTGAGCGCTGGAAGCTGTGATAGTATTGCAGAGATGCTCTGCATGTGCTGAGTGCCTCGAGGGGTCCAGGCACTCTGCGAATAAATAATAATATATATATAAAAAAAATTATATAAAATAATCAATATTACTCCCTCCCCCCCTCCTTTCTAAAGGCAGTGGATCATGGGGGCTTCTGGGGGTGTCCCTAGCATGCCGCATCATAAGGGGCAGGCTGGGGTCATCCAATCACAGCTTGCCCCATTAGCAATTCATCCCAAGTGTGTTCCCCATTTCTCTGATTCGCGTGGATCTGCCTCCCTCTCTTCACTTGTGTTTTAGTGAGAGAAGGAGAGAGATCTGTGGTTTAGCTAGAGAGATTTAGGTATTTATAGGTAGGGATTTGTAAAAAAAAATTTTTTGAGACCCAAAAGCTCTTTTCAGAACGATTAACCCCTGTCCTGCCAGTGATCACTATACAGATTGCAGGCTCTTGCACAGCAGCACTTATTTTGCTGTCTGTTCATTTTTTTTAGGGGTTATTTTTTTTTTGTGACAGGTCACTAAGTAAAGTGATTGTGATCATGTCACATGGGTCACGGAAGTCAACCAGCGCTGAGCAGTCATATGCCACCCTTGCGCTAGAGTCTGACCTGTCTAAGTCAGACTCTGACCCTGATTTTGACCCAGCCAGGTGCTCAGATACATCATCACTAGATACAGTGTCTGCTGCTAGTGATGTATCTAGTGATGTTGTATCTGTGCCTGCTAGTCCCCCTGCCCGAAGGAGACGTGCTGCTACAGCTGGCAGAACTGCTGAGGAGTGGGTAGTGCCTCATCACCAGAGGCCAGACATCCCATCCTTTACTGCAAATCCTGGCATTAATTTGGATGTCACAGGATTTAGCCCTCAGCAGTTTATGGAGGGGTTTCTGGGCAATGATATATTAGGTAACATTGTCACCCAAACTAATTTATATGCCCATCAATTCCGAGCTACAAATCCTGACTCTTTTTTGGCAAAGCAGCAATGGGCCCCCATTGATGTGCCAGAATTTAAAAGATTCTGGGCATTGACTATGCTGATGGGCATCATAAAGAAGCCCTCCATCCGCTCCTACTGGAGCAGTAGCCCCATCTGCTCTACCCCCATTTACTCCCAATGTATGTCGAGGAAGAGGTATGAAATGATTCGGCATTTCATGCACTTCAGCGACAACAGCCTGTCCCCCCCGTAGGGAGCATCCCCAGTTTGACAGGCTGTATAAAATCGCCCCGATTACCCACTCCACATGCAATACCTCGGGGTGTCTACGTTTCAAGTATGTACCCTTTCATGGCGATCTATAAAGCTGGGGTATGTGATAAACCCCAAGCTAAAGATAGGCCTATCAGAAGAAATACTCTCAATTACAACTCAAATTGCAAGTCATACAATTGTAACTGTACCTTCCCAAAATCCTGGCAAACCTATGCATGGGGCGCATGGGTGTCCTAAGGAGGCCTTGAAGAAAACAACCTGGGGTGTTTTCTTGCAATAACCAACAACGGGCTCTCCTAAATCACAGTCAAAAAGCAGTGTGCTTGTGTAAAAATGAGGATTGAACAGTTACCTTCACACACGTTCAACTTTTTTTGACTAAAATGATTGCATCTAAGGCATCAAAACACTCCACATACAATACTGCGGGGTGTCAACTTTTCAAATATATGCACGCTCATGGCAAGAAAATACATTGGGATATCTGATAAGGTCCCCAAAAGAAAGATAGGCAAACAAGATATGTAAAATTGGAAAAACGCATATCAGACATTTTTCTTTGCACCCCCCAGTGAACCCGACAAACGTATGCATGGGTGGTATCGCTGTACTCGGGAGATGTTGCCGAACACATATTGGGGTGTCCTTTGGCAGTAACACCTAACAGGAGCTGAGAATCTATGCTCAAAGTAGAATGTGTGAGTGAAAAATAACATCACAAAAACGTTTGACAGAGACTGGTGGTAGAATTAGTGCATGTAAAGTGTTGAAATGCCACCGTGTGAAATGCCCTAGGGTGTGTACTTTTCAAAAACTTACGGTTTGACGGAGGTGAATTACATTGGCCGGCTTCAGAAATGTTCCAACTGGGACATGGGTGCATGATGGCCAGCTGTGTTTTATTTTTCATCATATTTTACTTTTTTTATTCTAATAAATTATATGATATGATGAAAATAATGGTATCTTTAGAATGAACATTTAATAGCGAGGAAAATGGTATATAATATGTATGGGTACAGTAAATGTGTAAGAGGCAAATTACATCTAAACACAACCACTGCAGAAAAAGAGCCCTGGTTCTTAACGGTAATAAAACTGAAAAATGGCCCGGTCACTAAGGGGTTACAAGTTAAGTTTTATCTTATACATATATTTCTTTAGTATTCCATTGTTATAAAACATTGCATTCTCTGCCTCTCTTCTTTCTTTATGTAGATATGAGAATCGAAGAGTCAACTTGTGTTAGGGTTTTGTGCTTCCTAATAAGGACCCACTGCATGCACTGTTACACAATACAAACCTTTTATTTTTATCTCTTTAACCACTGGCTGTCAGTGGGAACCAACAATGCACGACAGCAAAGGAACAAAATCGAAAAAGATTCAATTCAACATTTACAGAAGTCCATTTTGCCAATTTACGAGCATACATTTCTTTAGGCAGAAATAAATAGAAGTGTGAATTTTATTTAGTCAAATAAGCATGGGATTCTTGCACATATGAAATTTAACACACACACACACAAAAAATATATTAAACATTTTACGGAAAAAAAAACAAAACTTCAGATAAGTTGTTTCCTGGGTGAAATTAGATCTTACCAAATTATACTGAATGAAGATATTCAACAGCCATTGATTTCTTGGCGGTGTTTCTAGGCGTGTTTAATGGTCATACGTTTACCAAATAATATTCCCAGTTCCAAAAGGAGTTGGATGACTGGGGTGGGTTCATTTTGTGAATAAGGCATTTTTAAAATACAAGTCTGTGAGGCAGATAGATTTAGGAGGGAGAATGCTTTGCTGGCAATATCCTAGTTTAATGGACAGCATACCGACTACACAGCAGAAGACAGAATAAGCGTTGTACCAAATGCAGGCCTCTCCTATAGTCCGTGACAATCACTAGTGCACGTTATCACAGTCCAGCAATTGTATAATGCAATATTTATTTATCAATCACGGAGGTCTTTTTCCATTACAAGATACATGTTCTCAGCAGGACGTTGCTTAAAGATGCAACAGGAAGTGCAGACTGTACATAATGTATCCTACTTCCTGTTGGAAATTACATGCAATGACAGATGCTGTACACTGTTATCTATCAAATCTTAGAGCCATAGAGGGTGATTGCTTTTGTAACCCACATAAAGTGAGCTTCCTAACAGGAGGTACTTCCATTATTGGCATAATTGGGCTATAAAATATAAGATTACCATCCCAAAAATCTAGCTGGATGTCTCTGAAAAGGTTTATACAGACTCATACATACTTTTTTTTTTTTTTTATATTTTAAATCTTTAGGAATTCTTGGCTTTCTACAGACTGAGGTTCAGACTTGGAAGTTAACCAAAGAGATCAGAAGCCAATTACATGAATCACCAGCAACAAAGACACAGAGCAATAGCAAGGAAGGGAGCTTGCAGATGGGTTTCACTCAGAAGCCGATCAATTTTAGGAATGAAGTGCTGTAATGAGCGTCTCATCTGTCGACACCAGATTACTGCATTCTCCAGAGAACGGTTTGCGTTAACCCTTGTTCTTGGTTTTGCATTTATTTTGTCGTTTTCCAGATCCTACGGCCGCTCCTAGGAAGCGGAGACCTGGTTCAGGGGTTCCTCCAGGTAATGCACTAAGGCTTGGGCCTAAGAACAAAGCAAAAAGTCCAGTGTTAAAGAGATGCTATTCTTCCCGTTATCACACGGTTTTATATCCTCCTCAAACAGTGGGAATTAAAAGGTCAGGCAAAGTTCTGGGTCTGCACCTGAATCTGTTGAGTAGTTATAGAGCTCTCCGAACATGCACAGCCGGAGAATTGACACACATTAAACCTTTGTACTTCGGCTGCCTGGTGTATACATGTCCTTTTTTTTTTTAAAGTTTTTTTTCCTCCAGTATAAAAATGACATCCCTTGTTTACTTGTCTAGCAGTTTAACAGGAGTTTCAAGAAAAGCTAAGAACATTAATCTTTTAATCTTTGTTGTAAAGGACAGTTTATATCAGCATGATCTGAACTACCCATTTATCACCAGTCAACAGAACCTTACTAATGCTAGCTCAGCAAGACATTCTATGTCAGAAAATTGCCACCACATCCAAAAATTCCATAGGTCACCAATTAGTAATGTCGTTACATGTTTAACATAAAACCAAATGTTTAAGAATGTGTAAGAAACATGTAGAGCTTACAGTAGTGATGGACAGTACCCCTTTGTGGCAAACCTAGCCACTTATAGAATGTCTTCATATATATACACTATGTTTATCTGTGGGGGAAAAACCCACCACTGTTAAGAGAGCTGTATATAAAAGCATTCAGGTTTATCTTCTGCATTCATGTGCTTACAGCACACGAATGCCGCTAACATTATATTGCCAGTTTCACGAACAGTGGATTCCTACACGGTTCGTGAAACGAACTAAGGACCGAACGGGAGACCACCCCAGTAGGTCGTGTGCCGCTCATTAGTGAGGTTGCAACATTGTATCTAGCCGTTAATGGGCTTTCTGTGTGTGGCCGCCGATCGAGTAGCGAACACGTGGCGGCGGCCATCTTTGCTTTGTTAGAGTTCAGCAGTGTTTGGTCGTCGAGTGCCTGGAACTGAAATAAGCCACTTGATTTCCAAACACCGCTGGACTTCCATAGCGTTCGGGAGATTCGCTCCTTTGGGGAAATAAAGATATTCAGGAGTTTTCTCTTCTAAACCCCAGTTTGTGTAAGTGTATATTATGAGCGGCGTTCGGTTAATTCTGCAGGAATCAGAACAGTACTTCGGTATATTGTACCTGCCGATCCCTGCATTCGGTTGAAAGGTCATTCACACAAATCGGTGGGAAATTGTGAGAATTATAGATTTTAATGTAAAATATGGCATATTACTGTGACCACTGGTAATGTAATTATCTGTACTTGCTGATGTCATCTTGGTGCCTGTACAGCAGGGGCTGCTGGGAAACAACCTTGCATGGTCAGTTTCCCACACAGTCCAACTGATTAAAACCCCTGCTGGAAAGCCTGTACAGTAAAATCACAAAAATTGGGGATTGTTTCATTAAAGCTCTCAGTTGACCTCCAAGCTATGTGTAGTCTAGTTCTTGGGAGAAAGGGATTGTACCTACGCTACCTGCATTTTGCCTACATTTTACCTGCTTCACTCTGTCTTCCATCGGAGATACCGTGAATAATACTACTACTCCGCTACACCCTTTAAAGCATTATTTCTGGATAGGAGGAATAGAAAGAATAGGGGAGGCTCTATATTTTGTTTAATGTGCGGCTCTCATCTCTATTGTTTTTTTTTTTTTAAAGGACTCAACTGACCTTATAACTGGCAGACTAGGTAACCCCCTACTCTCCCTTCCCACCAAAAAGAAAAAACAAAACAAAAAAAACACACCCCCCATTGGAGTTTCCTTCTGCATCCTGCCCAGAAAAGAGTCAAACCATTTTCAAACAGTTTGTCATCTACCTTGATGAGTCCACCAGCTGATTCCAGTCTGACCTCCTTTTCAGAGATATCTATATAGAGGAAGTTCCCCTTTGGAAACATATTTATTTTTCATCCATATTAAGATAACATTTATTGGCTGAGAACATTTGATACCCTCAGCCTATGAATTCGATCAGAAGTGGAGGCCAGAGACAATAGGATCACTTGACTCTTTCCTAATGAATGGTGCCAGGAGACTCCTTGTGCCATTATCACTACAGTGATTTGTAGTGGCTATGGTGCCTAGACTATCCCGCCGTGCACAGCTATTTTAATTAAACACCCTATTGTTACATTCTGTGCCCGCACCCTGGTATAGCTTACCTTGGCTTTCAACATTCCAAACCCAACAGACTCCTTGGCATACATGCACAGCAGCAAGTTAGACACTCTTGTGATTGCCACACGGCCTTCCTGAAAGGTGAGAGAAGTGATTAACCATTGTGAATCTTTATTCTGACAGTCCTGACCCTACCATACTACTGTGAAGAAATGCCTTTTTTTTAACTGTATATGCACTCTTTGTATTTGTGTCAATAGCAATGTTTCCCTATGACATTCGGTAGGTAAAACTACCGAATGCAGACCCCCCTGTCACCCCTTTATACAGACTATACCCCCCTTGCTGGCTGGATTACGTTCGACAGAAGTTCTGCACGAACGGCAGGTCTCGCCGCCATTTCGGGACTTCCTCGTGTTCGCGGCCATTTTAGCTCCTGAACAGCGGTGTTTGCCCTTGAATGTCTGGAACTGGAAACGGACACTCAAACAGGCGAACACCGCTGAAGCCTCCAGACCTTCGGTAAAACCCCTTCCAAACTACCGAACGACCGGGCGTTCGGTAGAAAGACTTACCAACAGATGGGGAACCAGCGAACCAAGGATGGTAGCTGGATGGCCGGCCGTTCGGGAGGTTTTTCATGCGATCTAAGACCGACTGCAGGGCCAGAATTCATGGAACTGTTTTCGGCTACTTTGCCCGTGCAGTCGGTCAAAACTTCTAAGTCCTATATCTCCCGAACGGCTGAACCGAATGGCCTGAGATTTTAATATGTTGGTCTCCCAGACAATAGCTATCTGAGGACACCCAAGTCCTTCGGGTACATCCAAACTTTGGGGAAATTCTGTTACGTTTTAATTGTGTTTAATGGTTATCTGAGGGGAGGAGATGTACAGTATGTAAATTGTTAGGATTGGATGTATGGATAATTATATGGGGGGCTCCCTTGCATGGTCTGAATCCCATAAAAAGAGCATGCCTGTCATTAAACCTCAGTTCATCTTTGTACCCTTATTCTGACTACGTATGCTGTTTGGGAGTTCGTGTGTTTTACTGTTGGAATTTTCCAGGAACACTATTTGATTTACAATTGGGAATTTGTCTACTATAAATACTGAACGGAGGGCTATATTCACTGGGCTCTGGCTGTTCGGGAGGAAACTACCGATTAAGGTTTACATGTACTTGGTTTCCTTACAATTACCTTGTAGACACCTGCAGGGACAAGTCTCCTGACACTCCATATAGCATGCCTTTATAAGGACTTGTGGCATTAATGGGTTAAAACTCCAGGCTAAGTGTAGACACTTACCATGCAGTCCATAAGGATGAATTTAAGATTGTCCTCGTTGAATGCCTGATGTCCGTTTTTATCATAGGCAGCCCAAATGTTGCTAGCAATAGCAGCTGTAACTCTGGCATCTGTGTCACCATAACCAGAATATGCAAGTAAAGAGCCTTCATTGTTCAGCAGTCTGGAGGACAGGA